AAACCCACGCTCACTTGAATCACTTCATGGTTTTATCACGAGTGATTGGTGAGACGATAACATTGTATATTCTTGAAACCGAGACGTGTGAGTTGTTATTTGCTGGTCGGTTGCACATTGATGATAAGTAAACGCACCAGTAACTTGGTGTTATAAAACTTATTGTTGTGTGTGATTCGATTAGTAGGTGCAAGCAAGCATTTGAGTCAAAGTTTATCCATTCCTTTTACCAAAGGTGGGATAAAAGCGATATATGTGGGCCCCTCGATGATTTAGTGATGACAAAGGAAAGTGCTCGGCCGGGCCAGGACTGATTTGATTTGTTCAATTAGTCAGTCGTCATAAATCGGAAATCGGGAAAGAGGACATAGACTGAGAGAATGATTTCAATCCATGTCTCATGTCTATACGATATCTTGTAGAATGGAGGAATATATAATCCCTTATCTAAAGGACACGCGTATCTGATAAGATCAGAGTTGACAGCGGCTTTTGAAAGCTACGATTGCTGATCAGGTTCTGAAGTCATACGCAGAATAGTTATTAGACTTATCCAAGTGGGAGACTGTTGGATTAGTGTCTAAGTCCATAACTATTTTGGTATGTACTTGACCCGATTATGAGCATGGTCCTTTTGGGTTGCCTTCACCATAGCAATATGTAGGATGAATTAAGGAGAGAAAGGTTTAATTATGATTTATTAATATATTATAAGAATAATATATTAAAGGAGAAATCATTTGTTTAATTAATATTAGTCAAGAATTAATTAAGAATTAATTTTGTGGCTAAAAGAGATTAATTAAATTAGGGGACTGATATTGTAATTATAAGATAGTTACAATTGGGCTATGGATCCATTAGATGGCATGGACGAATTCTATGGGACCATAAGAGAATCGTCCAAGGGCCTTCTGGAATGGGTCCATGGGCTGCTTAGGGCTTAAGCAGTCAGATTAGGGTTTCCTAGTTGTAACCCTAATAGCCTACATGTATATAAAGGACCCTTACCCCAAAAACGTGACAAGGAATCCTTTAGGGTTTCCAGCCATTTTTGGTGCCTCCCTCTCCTCCTCTTCATCCAAGTGCTTAGTGGTGTTTGTGACTCCATTAGAGGTGCAACACTTGAGGCACTAAGCTTTCTGAAGCCAATCAAAGCAAGGATTGATTGTTATTGCTATATAACAATCAAAGGTAATTACTAAACCCTTATTTCAGTTCTTATTTGATAGATCTAGGGTTTGTAAGTCTTGGATTCATTGCATGTACAATAGAGAAACCTAGATCCAAGCATTAGGGTTTGTATGAGCACATAGGATTGTTCTTATGCTTAAAACCCATCATGTACAAGTTCTGCAAAGCTATTACTTTGGTGTATGTGCAACGATATTTGCACAAACCAACTATCAACAATGTCCAC